GGCTATATTAGAACATGCCGGCTCCACATAGGAGCATTCTTTTATTCTTTGTTTTCCTTTTAATCCTTGAGATTGGCCCAGATGTGTGTCCACTATCCTTGATATACCATTTTTACCCATGTCATGCACTATGGTCCACTATGCAAGTATGTAATCATGTTTATGCTCATGCTAGACTCTTAATACCTTGCCCTCCTTTGGGAAAATATAAATAACAATACCATGAATACTTCCAGGTGAAATGCTACAACGATAGATCCGTGAGCTTGTGGATATTTCTATAATCATTAAGAACTATCGTAGTTGGTGTTTCTTGGTGGCGTTGCTAAGATTAACTCAATCTTAGTAATGGTGTTAATAAATACCAACAGGCATTTCTGGCGTCGTTGCCGGTGATGGACTTAAAACCTCCTCACTTGGTGATTGCACTAAGAAATGCCAACACGGGCTCCATACCGGCTATTGATATTTCTTAACAACTATTGGAGGATTCTGCAAGCGCACAGAACTATCGCGTAGCACTTCGCTCGGTGAGTACCGAGTGTCGAATTTATAATTTATCCCACAGGAAAGCGGAAGGCTAGAATTTATAAGTGGACTAGGATTTGCTAGAGGAAGGCTTGAGTTGATCCTAGGTAGGTGAACGATAGTGAAGGATGAGTGCGAACTACCTAAACTAACTACTACTAACAAGCTAACCAGAGATAGCTAGGTGGGAGAGCGAGCTATATATCTTTCTAGTAACTAAGGGTAAACAAATAACTAGGAGAAATGGGATAGTACTTTGGGGCATAGCCCGCCTACCAACTAGAAGAGTTAAATAGACAAGGTATGCCATGAGCCCTACGATTTAATAACTAGACCTATCGTGGTGGAATACAGAGGATGGACAAGGCTGTCACCACTTGCCACCTACCACAATCTATCCGGAGGCCTAGCCGTATCCACAGGTAATCTATAGCCTAAGCACCACGTTTAATCTATAAACTTACTACTTCGATCCAAGCTCCAATGAAATGAGATCAAAGCACCCTAACCAGACGGTGGAACCAGTACTAACGAAAGACTACTAATGATAAGATAACGTATGCTACTAATGCCAAACAACAAGCACCTAAGCTCACTAATGATGAACACTAATGACTAAGTACTTAAAGTAAAGCAAGCAATACTAGAATAAAGTACTGAAATAAATACTGAATAAAGTAATGCAGAAATGAAAGAATTACAAAGGAGCTATACTAGACCCAGAAGACTCTTTCACACTCCGAGAAGCTCCGCTCTTGCTCTACTCCACTACTAGACTACTACTCTATAGCTAATGCTAAGCTAGAAAGCTAAGAAAAGCTTGGAGAGCTTGAAATATGAATGGGGCACTTCTCCACCAAGCTCCACACCCACTATTTATAGTGTCTAGTGAGGGAAGGGGTATTTGTAGGCAGTGGCAAGGTTGGTGGAGAACCTAGGGTGTCGGGCGGCTCTAGGGGTGCGTCGGTCGGCCCTTGGATGCACCGCCTCTTTATCCTCTAGCTCTGGTTGGCTCCCAATGGCGGTTACTTGGACGGCACATGTCAAAATTCAGACAGCAAGTCTATGACAATGGGCCCATGGATCCATGGCCTCTCCATCATGACCATTGATTGAACCGACTTGGATCAACGCTTCCTATTGGTTCTGGAGGGACTCCCACGGATCGATGACGTGGCAAGGTGCCAAGTTGGCACCAGGTGGGGCCGGGCGGCGCCAGGGTGGCACCGGACGGCAGTGACCTGTGGGCCCAAGTGGCCCTTCCACGTCCACTTGCTTCATATGTCCATGGTCTTCACCATTTTGGCCTATTTTTGTCATATTTCTTGCATACAAATAATTCTACAAGCACAAGTGGAACTATGTGAATTATAAACATAATTCTACACATGTGATGATGATTTACCTCACTTTACCATGCTTTTGGGTGGAATGTTGATGGTCAAAACGGGTGTTAGTGACCGTCAACATTGACCGTCATTGCCTTGGGTGGTGTTGTCTTGTCCGTGCTGCGTGGCGCAAGGGTGGCGTCTGACCAAACCGAGGTGACCGCTATCCTCTCGGTCCTTGCGAAGTCAGAGTGGCATGCCTACTCCTATTAGAGCAGGCACGTTTGGCTAGGCTCGACCTCTCCTCGTTCCTCCTAGGGGTCGTGGCGGTGAAAGGTCGTGCGTCTCTAGCTAAGACAGAAGGAGGGGTCACGATCGACCCTGGCCTTGGTGTCAGGCCTGTTCTGCTTGGCTTAGCTAGGCCTCGGTGTCTTGGGCCTTCGCTAGCTGATGTGTCATGGGCCGCTCGGCCTGCTAGTTAGTCGGTGCCTTGAGACACCCGGGGATTATAACCCCGACAAGTACCCACTAACACACCACCCCAACTTCAATCAGTAATCAAATTAGAGGGGAACAAGTTGGAGAGAAAAGGTATTGCTTCAAGGAGGAAGAAATATGAATCAACAATCACAACAACAATAACAAAGAGGATTAGATTAGATCCAGAATCCTCAGCACACGCATGAGCAAGTAAATTGAACAACAGAGGTAGGAACATGAGGGTTCACATAAAGAGAGAAGAACCTGCCCAAGGTAAAGCTTTGCATGTCATATGTTAATTTCGGTGAGCAAAGTATGTTTCATCTGCACAAAGAAAAATCACATAGCCAAGAAGTGGCTGAGAAGGAAGGGATCTCAAGAGGTTGTTCAGTACTTTCGGAGTGCCAACCATAGTTATTTGAAGCGGATCGGACCGACGGCCCGATCGGTAAAAGACTGAGCCTTGGGCGGTCTGGTCCAGCTTAGAAGACCGGTAAGCAATTGAACCAGTATAAAACCGATGAACTGGTAGTTTTTTCACAGGAATCGATATAAAACTGGGCAACAAACCGATGAGAAACCGGGCGGTCTGGAGCTATGCGTGGGATTTGCAACGTGGAAGGGGGGAGGAGAGAAAATGAGGGAAAACTGTCTAAAAAGGGGGGCGGTAGGGAATTGAACCCTGGTCTCATGGGTTGGAGAGCAAGATCTCCACCACTGAGCCATGACTTTTATTGTGTTTGAGTAGCGTTCCCCATTATATTTGAACCGGATTAAACCGATGGTTGGACCAATCAAACCGTGAACCGAGGCCTTGAGTGGTTCGATGTCCGGTCCGGTTCTAATAACTATGGTGCCAACAAGGGTCTTGGATTTTTTTCACATTGATGTGAAACCTAGAGAGGACAAGTTCAAGTTATGGACTAAATTTGATAAATGCGGTATCTTTACCATTGAGATGGTCCATGAGAGAATCATGAAGGATTTGTTTGATAAGGATTGGCATTGTTAGTTGAAACAAATGGATGGATATAATTTCTTTAGTGAGGTTACCACCAAACAAAAAGGTTGAAAGTTTCGTGATTAACAAGGTATCATATTTCTACCAACAGGAAGGTGTTGTTATGGCTTCTCTAAGAATTTGGAATGGGCGAATTGCTATATCGAGTCTACGGGAATAATGACAAAGGTTTGTGTTCAGACTTGAGGAAGCCTCCCTAAATGGTGCGACTAGATGACCACGTGACATATCACTTCTACTCTTGGTATTCTAATGGAAGTAGACTGGCAGTCCCTGTTTGCAAGTTTCTTTACTATGATTAGAATAAGAATAAATTGTAGGAAACCAGTAAAAAATACATAAGCAAGGGGTGATGGAGATGAATAATGATTTATTCATGGTGTCCTTTAAAACAGAATAAGTGGACCAGGTTTTGTAGAATGAGAAAGAATGAGATAATGATGATGGAGATGGTGGTATGGATGAAGATGATTTGTTGGGGAATGATATTAAGGGTTCCGAAGACAAGTCAAAACAACCAAAACCTACCTATAATGTAACAATTATTTTTCTTAATTACCACCTGGATTTGAAAAGTTATTTTTTCAAGTTCTTGTTGCATCGGTAAGATACAATTTGATTGATAAATATTTGAAAAATATATAATACTTACATATTAAAAATGTTATGTTTTAGTCATCTAACTTGATGTTTTCTTAAAGTATTTGTAATTATAGCATTACATTGATGTTAGCTTGATGTTTGTTTAAATATTACTTTTTGATAAAGCATAAGTTTTGGGTGTTTTCACTAAGGTAAGTATATTATTTAATTCTTGAATTAAAAAATGGAATTTTTTTGAACTTGTGATATCCAAATTGGGATTAGAACAATATGGTATATATATTTTTTTTCAAGGATATTCGAAATGATATTCATATCCATTTCAAAATATATATGGAAAGTATGGTATCCGATTCAAATTTCCGACCGATTTCCACTCCTAGTTAGGGATGAAAATGGTACGGATATTTTCCGACCGTATTCGAGTCCGAATCCGTTTAGAGGGGTTCAGATCTGTCTGTATCCGAGTCCGGATATTCAACATCCGATACCGTATCCGTATCCGAATACTCAAATCACATATTTATGATATCGACATCTAATCGTATCCTATACGGCATGGCTGATACTATCCGTATTCGAATCCGAATCCGAAATGTGAAAATAAATATAATATCAGTGATATCCGATCCGTTTTCATCCATACTCTAGTCCTCCAATAAAAATAAAAAAAAAAAAAAAAACTGACTCGGAGTCTCGGACACTCTCGGTCTCGGGGGTGTGCTTGAAGTCGGTGGTGGTCATTCAAATTTCAAACGCGGACGCGGGTAGCCCTGTTTCTGTTTTGGCTGTGATGAGCTGTCCGTGGCTCCGCGTCAGCGTCGGACACACGCACACCCAAACAAAAACAGCAAAGAGGACGGAAGGGCGGAGCCCTCGGATCCGCGTGACACCCACGCCAACTACATCTGCACCGTCCACGCATCCCCTATAAACAAATCTCCCCGACGCCGCCAGGCGCCCGCAGAGCAGCTCTTGCAAAATTTCAGCTTCCCTCGGCTTCTCCTCTCGGCGCGCGCGCAACAAGAAGCGAAAAGCGCATGGCGGCGGCGATCGCCACCAGGAAGCGCCCGGCGCTCGACGGCCCCTGCTTCCCGGCGGCCAAGAAGCGTTCGCGGTACGTCTTCGGCTCCATCTACGAGTACAAGAAGCTCGGGGTGCTCGGGGAGGGCACGTACGGCAAGGTGGTGCGGGCGCGCCACCGGCGCACGGGCGAGACGGTGGCCATCAAGTGGGTCCGCGCCACCCGCGGCGGCGGCGGCGACGGCACCCGCGCGGCACTCCGCGAGGCCGGCTGCCTGGCGGCCTGCCGTGGCGCCCCCTCGGTGGTGCAGATCCGCGACGTGGCCGCCGACGAGGCCACCGGGGACCTCTTCATCGTCACGGAGCTCGTCGACGGCCCGACCCTCCGCGACCGGCTCACCCTCACGGGCCGCTTCCCGGAGGCCCCGGCGCGCGCTGCCATGCGCCAGCTCCTGCGCGGTGTCGCGTGGGTGCACCGCGCGGGGGCGCTCCACCGCGACGTCAAGCCGGAGAACGTGCTCGTCGGCCCCGGTGGCGCGCTCAAGATCTGCGACTTCGGGTCGGCCACGCCTGTGCGCCCGCCGTACGACCCCGAGGACCGCGTGGGCACCTTGTGGTACCTCGCGCCGGAGATGCTCAAGGGCAGCCGCTGCTACGGCCCGCCGGTCGACATGTGGGCGCTCGGCTGCGTCATGCTAGAGTTGCTCACCGGCAAGCCCATGTTCCTTGGCGTCGAAACAAAGGAGGACCTGCTCGTGGAGGTGTTCCAGCTGCGGCACAACATGGACTCGGACGGGGTGGCGGCGTTCAAGGGCCTGCCACCGGACCTGTCCAAGGCTGCCGGCGAGCTCTTGTGTGGGTTGCTTTGCTTTGACGAGGACAAGAGGCTCACTGCGGCACAAGCGCTCAACCACCGGTGGCTCTCGGAGTCGGAGGAGGCAGAATCCATGGGTCCTGACTGAGGATGCCTCAGAGGAAACAGAGTCGCTGGGTCCAGAGGATACCTGATCTGATCAAGGGCAGACAAACGGAGAGCAGTGTTATTTAGGACAATTGACTACTTTAATCTTATGCTTTCATTATTCATTCATGTGTAGCTTCATTGCCAATGTAGTAGCAAATTGCAATGCATTGCAGTCTTATGTAATTATTAGTTGACTGGAGACAATCCATTGTTGCTCATCATCTGATCAAATTGAAACAATTTAACAGGGATTTGGTTGTCATTAATTAAGCTATAATGTGTGATGATCATGTCTTTGCTGCTTCATTTTTCTGCAATTCCGCAACCGTTGAAATTCGACATCACAAAACTGCTCAGGTTCTGTTTGATGCAACTACATTGGAGAATTGGACATTGTATGCCATGGGAGGCTGACATTTTCGTGATTAACTGAGCTAGTTTGTATAAAGCATGTCGTGCCCTTTTAGTTCTCAGAAACCTCTTTTCAAGACAAGAATGGACTCTGGTTTCATGGCAATTCAAAACATCATCAAGATTCTCTTCTCAGAATCTTCCTTTTTAGACAAGAACGGACTTTGGTTTCATGACAATTCTTGGCAAATGCTTGCTTTATAACAATTTGGTTTAGTAGACCACATTTGGCAAGCGTTGATTGTGGCAAATATCAGCAAGATTCTCTTATTAGAAGTTTAGAACTCTAACATTATCATAAGTACGGAAGATTCAAGCTCCATGATCTAGATATATCACAAATCCCACTCTTGATTATGTAGTATATATGTAGAATCACATGCCAAATTGTTTACACCACCATCTAGAAGCTTTAAATGGTCAGAATTGGTTGAGTTGCAATTCCTTGGATTATCCCCAAATGGAAGGGATTAAATCTACAGAGACCTACTGTACATTACAATCAACTAGCAGCAATAATTTTTTACACAAGTTTTCTCATGGAGTTTATTGCATATTCCAGCGATGTTTGTTACTTTGCCTGATGCTGGTTACCAGCACGGCAGCACCTGATACATTCCTTCTCCCAGGGTTTTGCTAACCTGTTCACACAGAAAGAAAGGGGATTGTCAAACAACAAATTGGCGTCAGTGCTGTCAAGTGCAGGAAAAGGTGAACTGTCTGGAGGGAAACAAATCAATCTATAGGAAATTTTCCACATGTTTATGGTACAGGAATAATGGGACATTAGTATTTACCACTTTCAACATCAGATGCCTCAGCAAGCCTTGCTATTGCACCAACTAGAGACCGTTCTTGATCCTGAAGGCATTCTGAGTTAGACAAACTGAAAATTTCCTGACTTGATCAAGGGGAGAGACGTCCCCTTGACTTCAGTCTTAAAGAAGGGGCCCACCGAACCCGGAACAGGCAGGAACCATCTGCGATTGCCAGTTTCAACAGGGAGGTGGGCACACAACCATGCGGTGATAATATAGTTTGTATAATCGGACTTACTTCCAATGCTTTCTTTGCCCTCTCTACTTCCAGGGGATCAGGATTGCTAACGCTAAAAATTTTCTTCACCTGCATGAGCAGATGCAATATTAAAATCAAAATTACAAGGCACAAGATCTGCAGTGTTTCTAATCAGAAAAAAATGGGGACGTTCATTCAAACTAACCACTTTTATCAGGCTCCCAGTATGAAATATATTGATATTGTTGTAACTTCTTGTCTCAGCAACATTTTGTGGAGGTAGAAAATCCTTCTTGGATACATTCTTCTGGAAACTTATTCCTCTGCCAGGAACAGGCTTCGGCCCACCATGGCTAGTGGACTTCCCAGCACCACTAGTTCGAGCACCTTGACTTTGTAAATACATCACAGGGTCTATCCCAGACCCATCCTCTTGCCATCTTATATCTTCCTGTCCCATCTTTACTTGAGAAAAAAGCAGTGGTTTAGCACAATTCCATCAGATAAAAGAGTTTAGTAGACATTTGTAATTTATGCTTCTTCTCAGAACGAATATTAGGTCTTCTTTCAAATAAGATGAGTACAAAACTACAAACATTTCAGATACCGAGCATAGTTAACACAGACAAGTCAATTTGAAAGCAGTAACATCTCTGGAACAGCTAAACACGTTCTCCAAACAAAATTGTCCAGAAATAAATGGCTGGAATTAGGTGGTGTTTGGATCCGGTGACTAAAATTTAGGAGGTGTGTCGGGAGGATGTTGCATGGGGTGTTCGGATACTAATAAAAAAACAAATTACATAATCCGTCAGTACTCCATGAGACGATTTTTTTAAGCCTAATTAATCCGTCATTAACAAATGTTTACTGTAGCACCACATTGTCAAATCTTGGGCTAATTAGGCTTAAAAGATTCGTCTCGCAAATTAGTCACAAACTATGCAATTAGTTTCGTAATTTGTCTATATTTAATACTCCATGTGATAGAAGGTTAAGCCAACAGGCTTAGCATACTTGATTTGAGGTAACAAAGGGATTACAAGTATATAGGGGCCCAAAGGGCCTGACCAGTGCCGCATTCACACAGGAAAGGGCCTAACCGGTAGAGTGTTCACATGAGTAACTAGATATTCTAACACCCCCCGCAGTTGGAACGTTGCTGGGACGGACGTTCAGACTGGAGCGAAATTCCATGAAGACAGAAGAAGGAAGCCCCTTGGTGAAGACATCCGCGTACTGCGACGTTGTGGGAACATGTAGGACGCGGACAGTGCCAATGGTGACCCGTTCACGGACGAAGTGAAGGTCGATTTCCACGTGCTTGGTGCGTTGATGCTGAACGGGGTTGGTGGAGAGGTAGACGGCGCTGACATTGTCGCAGTAGATGAGGGAGGCAGTCTTCAGGGGGTGGTGCAGTTCCTGTAGAAGTTGCTGTAGCCATGAAGCTTCGGCGACGCCGTTGGCAACAGCACGATACTCGGCTTCGGCACTCGACCGAGAGACAGTGGGTTGCCTTTTGGATGACCAGGAGACGAGGCTGCCACCGAGGAAGACAGCGTATCCAGAGGTGGAGCGGCGAGTGTCCGGGCAGCCTGCCCAGTCAGCATCAGTGTAAACGACGAGCTGAGTCAGGGCAGACTGGGGGATGACCAGGCCATAGCTGATGGTGCCCTGAAGGTAGCGAAGGATCCGCTTGGCAGCGATCAGGTGAGTCTCTCGGGGATCATGCATGTGAAGGCAAATTTGCTGGACGGCATATGCAATGTCGGGGCGGGTGAACGTCAGGTACTGGAGAGCACCTGCAAGACTGCGGTAGGCTGTGGGATCATCCACAGGAGGGCCAGCATCTGCAGATACCTTGGCACAAGTGTCGACGGGGGTAGAGCAAGGATTGCAGCCGCTCATGCCATGTCGATCAAGGATGTCCAGGGTGTATTGGCGCTGTGAGAGGATGAGAGTGTCCCTGTGTCGCTGAACCGCCACGCCAAGGAAGTGATGCAAGGGACCAAGGTCTTTCATAGCAAATTCCTTCTTCAGGGCAGCAATCATACGGAGGAGGAGCTGCTGAGAGGAGGCAGTGAGGACGATGTCATCCACATAGAGGAGCAAATATACTGTCTCGGTGCCGCGTCGGTATATGAACAGGGAGGTGTCTGACTTGGCTTTAGTGAAGCCCAAGGTGAGCAGGTAAGCGGCAAACCGGCTGTACCACGCACGGGGTGCCTGCTTCAGCCCGTAGAGAGACTTGTTGAGCTTGCAAACATGGTCCGGGAGAGCAGGATCAGCGAACCCGGTGGGCTGAGAGCAGTACACAGTTTCTGACAAAGTCCCGTGGAGGAAAGCATTCTTCACGTCGAGTTGATGGATCGGCCAGTCCCGAGAGTGTGCCAAGGTGAGGACAGTGCGAACGGTGGCTGGTTTGATGACAGGGATGAAGGTCTCGTCGTAATCAACACCGAGGCGTTGTGTAAATCCGCGAAGGACCCAACGAGCCTTGTATCTTTCCAAGGAACCATCAGCATAAAACTTGTGTTTGAAAATCCATTTTCTAGTGACCACACTGGCCTTGGCCGGGCGAGGGACAAGATCCCAAGTGTGGTTGTCCAGAAGAGCAGCATGTTCTTCTTCCATGGCCCGACGCCAATGCAGATTGGCAAGAGCATCGCGACACGAACGCGGTACCGGTGATAGGGCCTCAGTATGCAAGGCAACACGAGGCTGCCGGTACCCAGACTCCATGGGAGTTGGCGACCGGAGGGATGGAGACGGCCGTTGTCGGAACCGGAGGGCCGTACTTGACATAGCGTGGCGGAGAGGGAACAATGCTGGAGCGTCGAGGAGGGCCCCCCGCAGCAGGCTCAGAAGGTGAGCCAGGTGCAAGAGGGCGTCTAGAGTAGACGTGGATGATAGGAGGCTTGCGGAAGAAGGGAGCCGAAGGCGCCTGAGGTAAGGCGGGCGCCTGGGGCACCGCGGGGGCCGAAGGCTCCTAAACAGGGGGCGCCCGGGGTACCGCGGGTGCCGGGGGCTCCGGGACAGGAGGAGCTGGGAGCACATGACGTGCCGAAGGTGCCACAGGCGCGCCTGGGGGTACCAGAGACTTCTGGGGGACTGGCGTGCGCGAGCCAGTTGTCGGGGCGATCAGCGGCCGCAGGACAGGGAAACCTGGTGGAGGCGATCTGGGCGTCGGGGTGCCCAGACCAACCATCGGGGTGACCGGTGGCGATGGCTGGGAGCGGGCATGTGGAGGTGTGGGTGCTGGCAAGGAGCCAGCAAACCCGGGTGTACCTGTAGGTAAAGGGAAGACTGGCAGGAGGTCATCGTTAGTTAGAAAATCAAGCTCTTGTGGAGGAGGTGAGGGTCGGCGAAGGGAGAAAGGAAATGTTGTTTCATCGAAAACAACATGCCGAGAGATGATGACATGGTTAGTGGCGAGGTTGAGGCACCTGTAGCCCTTGTGATCAGGCGAGTAGCCAATGAACACACATAGAGCGGAGCGAGGAGCAAGTTTGTGAGGAGTGGTAGCAGTGAGGTTGGGGTAACAGGTGCATCCGAAAGCTCGTAGGTCATGATAAGAGGGGTGGGCGCCGTAGAGCGCGAAGAAAGGAGTGCTCATGTGCAACGTCTTGGTAGGGAGCCGATTGAGGAGGGTAGCAGTAGCAAGGGCGTCAGCCCAGTAGGAGGGTGGCATGGAAGCCTGAAAAAGGAGGGTTCGGGTGACATTGTTAGTGGTGCGAATCATGCGCTCGGCTTTCCCATTTTGTTGTGAAGTATAAGGACAGGACATGCGGAGGGAAACCCCGTTGGCAAGGAAGAACGCACGAGAGGCGGAGTTGTCAAACTCATGGGCGTTGTCACACTGTACCGTTTTGATGGTGCAGCTGAACTGAGTGTTTACATGAGCGAAAAAAATTGGAAATAGTAGGGAAAGTATCAGACTTTAGACGAAGGGGAAAAGTCCAAAGAAAATGAGAGCAGTCATCAAGGATAACTAAGTAATATTTGAAATCGGATATACTAGTAACAGGTGATGTCCATAGATCACAATGCACCAAATCAAAAATCTTAGCTGCTCTAGACAAGGAACTAGTAAAAGGTAAGCGAACATGGCGTCCAAGTTGACACGCATGGCAGAGGGAGTCGTCGTCAGGCTTGCTGCAGATGATCGAAGAGGATTGGGCAAGACTCTGAAGGGCAGCCTTGCCAGGGTGTCCGAGGCGACGATGCCAGGTGGTCAGGGAGGGAGTAGCCACAAGAGCACAGGAACTGGAGGAAGATGTAGGCAGCTGCAAGGTGTAGAGAGGTCCCGAGCTGTTACATCGAAGGAGGGTGTCCTTGGAGTGGAGATCCTTCACAGAAACACCAAGAGGGTCAAATTCAACTGAAACAGAATTGTCAGTGGTGAACTTGCATACAGAAAGAAGATTTTTAATAATGTCAGGAGCTATAAGGACATTGTTGAGGCGAAAAGGGCCAGGAAGGATGGAGAAGCCAGTGCCAACCACTGGAAGGGTGGCACCATTGCCAACAACAATGGAGGAAGGAAAAGAGGATGATGGCGAGGCTGTGACCATACCAGGGTTGGAGGCAATGTGAGAGGAAGCACCAGAGTCGATGACCCAGTCCGAGGAGCTTGGTGGCGGAGTGAGGGCGACGGTACTAAAGGCGTTGGCGAGGGACTCGGTAGTCCATGGCGACCAAGTAGGAGAGGGCGCCTGCTGGGGCGCTTGGTAGTATGCCCCGGGGACCGGCGATGGAGTGAAGTACCCCGAGGGCACACCAGCCACTAGGGCTTACTGCGGTGATGGAGGCGGGACGACGCGAGGCGGTGGACCGCGAGGACCTCCAGGGGTGGACCCGGGCCACATATGGATGGACCCGGTCCATGGATTGAGGATGGAGGGCCACTGCTGGCCGCCAGGGGGCTGCTGGCCACTTGGTGAGCCACCTTGTGTGTCGCCTTGGTCGCGTCCGCCGCGGCGACCGTTGCTGTTGCCAGACGGCTGCCCCCCGGCAGCCTGATGGAGGCGCGGGGGTGCAGAGGGTGGTGGAGGAGCGGACGGCCTGCTGGATGACGAGGCGACGAGGGCTAAGGGCGGTGCTGAGGGTGATGCCATGTTGAGCTCAGCTAGGCGGAGGTCAGCGCGGACGTCAGTGAAGGAGGGGAAGGGTCTCTGTCGAGTGACGAACTGCGACATGAACTGGAAACGTTCATTGTGTCCGCGCAGGACGTTTAGCACCAGAGTACGGTCCAGGATGGGCTCGCCAAGATCGGCAAGCGCATCCGCCATGCTCTTCATCTTGCGACAGTATTCGTCGATGGAGAGGGCGCCCTAGCAGAGAGTGTGGAACTCAGCGTCGAGGAGCATGGCACGGGACTCGCGGTTGTTGAAGAATTGTTGTTCGATGCCGAGCCTCGCCGCCCGAGCAGTTATGCCGTCGCGCTCGTGAACGACGTCG